GTTCTTGCTATTGTGAACAATGCTGTGATAAACATACGTGTGCAGGTATCTTTTTTATAGAGTGATTTGAGTTCTTCAGGATATATTTCCAGTAGGGGGATTGTGGGGTCATATGGGAGGTTGATATTTATGAAGGAAATACCCTCATGGAAATCGGAACTGGCATCCAATTCCTGAACAAAACCTGAAACCCACAAGTCATAAGAGAGAAGATAGACAAGTGGGACCTTATTAAATTGACAAGCTTCTGCAAAGTCAAAGAAACCATCAAGAGAGCAGGGAGACAGCCTACAGACTGGGAAAAAGTATTTGCCAACACCAGGTCTGACAAAGGTTTAACATCCTGGATCTACAAGGAACTCAAACGTGCTGAAAAGAAAAAAACAAACAACCCCATTATAACATGGGCAAAAGATATGAACAGACACTTCACAAAGGAAGACATCTGAGCAGCCAACAGACACATGAAGAAATGTTCAACCTCACTAATCATCAGGGAGATGCAAATCAAAACCACACTGAGATACCATCTAACTCCAGTCAGAATGGCAATTATCAACAACTCAAAAAAGATCTGGAAATTCTGATGGAGGTGTTTCCAAGTACCATACTTTGAGAAGCAATACATTTGATTTTTTAGCTCTGTTCAACTCATCTTGATGCCTGCAAGATAAGAACAGCTGGGATGAAATATTTTATTCATCTCTGGAAGAATTACCTTAATGAGTTCTTTTCTGTTTGATATTTGTAATTCTGTTTTGCTGAGTTTCTGCAGATTAAGTCTCTGGTATCCATGACTGCAGTAAGCACACAGAACACTTTACCACTTGTTCTTACATTTAATTTGTTATTTATACGCAAAACTAAATAGCACATGGTTGCTACTTCTTAACTCATTAGTTTTTTTAAAAGGTAGATCATGCTGGTTTTTATTTAGGATGAAAAATAAGCATTTAATTACTTTAGTTCAGTTTTAGCTTTTTACAAAGATTACCTGCAACATTTCATATAGGATAAGAATCAATTTTCAACATCCAATACACAAATGTTGCTACTTTTTTTTAACAAAACCTCAAAAAGAGAACTTTGATGGACAGTTCCCACTAACTATAATTTTCCTTCTAAAGGAATAGGAAAACAGAAGTCTATACTCATAGTAAAAATTAATTTAAATTTATTTACAGTCTTTATCATTCTGTTATGTCTATTACAGCTACATCTTCATGCAATGTGGTTGGTTTTGGATTCAGAGATTTAAAAAATGCAATAGTCTCATGAACAATTTTGGTGATATTTACTATTTAGTCTGCTTACTATAACCATTTAAAGCAATGTTCAGGTTAATGATTTTCTTTTTTTTTTTTTCGAGTTAGAGTCTCACTCTCAGACAGGAGTGCAGTGGCCACTCCCGGCCACCGCAGCCTTGATCTGCTGGGCTCTGGCGATCCTTCTGCCTCAACCTTCCAAGTAGCTGGAATTACAGGCATGCACTACTATGCCCAGCTGATTTTTTTTTGATTTATTGTAGAGATGAGGTCTCGCTGCCCAGGTGGGTCTTGAACCCATGGGCTCAGGCAATCCACTCACCTCAGCCTCCCAAAGGCGCGAGATTACAGGCTGAGCCACCAAGCCTGACTAAGGATTTTCAATACACAATTTTATTTTTAAATTTGTTTCACCCTCTCAACTAATTTCTCAAATGCTCTAAAAGATTAATCGAAGTTGCAGTATTCTTCAGTTCAATTTTAAGTGATGCCCTCAGGATACAGCCTATATCAGAAAGAATCTAAGACCTCTCTGATACAGAGGTTAAAAACATGGCCTTTGGAACCAGACTGACATGTGTTCAATCTCCACTTTTCTATCTACTAGCTGTGAAATATTGGGCAAGTTACCAAATATTTCTAAATTGATTAAATTCTTGTCTATAAAATTAGAACAATAAATTACCTAACATGAAGAACTGTTGAGAGAAGTATATAAGTTCATCAATTCAAAGTCCCACATTATTTCACATATTAACATCTTAATATATTTGATGGGTGGATATATTTGGAATATATCCACCAATCAAAGGTAGCTTAAATTTTTAAAGAGTACCTTTTTTTTTTCTGAATGGTACTAAAATAATGATGTGTCTTATCATCAGTGGTCTTGAATCTGATAAAATAAGGAACTTGTAAAAATGTGAAACTGTGTTTGGTGCATAGTAAATCTTGATAACCATTAGTCATTATTAATATTATGAGACAGATACAAAAGTGCACATGTATAATAATCTATTTCTTCCTTGTCTAAATGATGAGGCTTTTGAAGGCAAGAGTTATGCTCTATTTACTTTGATATCAACTCGTTTCCCTTTTCTGTATACCAACATGACTAGTGCAGAGTCCTGTACATAGTATATGAAGAGAAAATATTTTTGAAAGTATGTGTAGATAATTAAAGGAAAAAAGAAGAGAGTGCTACGTTCCCACTAAGAATGGTAGTTCACTGGATTGGAAGCTTCACATAGGTAAACAGTCTAAGTTGAATCTAAATTTTATAAACAAAACAATGAATTTCTTGAGTCATGATGTCTACAAATTGGCAAAGAAATTAAGATGGCATTTTAATGGCTCTTTTAAGATTAAAACTTCAAATGATAATGAAGTGAAGAATGATTATAAAATAGCTGTAATTATTCGATATAGTAGAATGCAGCAAATATACTTAATGCCTAATTGTAGTGAAACTGTTAGTGGTCATGGGTATTTGTCTTTCATTGGCTAATTAATGATATTTCACATTTCAAAAACAGTAAAATTGTTTTAAGATATTTGTGTTTAAAATATTTGTGTACTTAACTTTTCTTCTTGGGCTCAAGGAAGCAATTAAACTCTGAAAAAATTTGTTTAAGAAGAGTATGCAATATAAATGACTCCAGAGTAAAATTTAGAACCTAATCAAAACCAAGTGCTTTCTATAAGAGGTAATACCAAAAAAAAAGGGGGGGCTCAAAAGTTGAAACTAGAAATATATTTGGGACTAAAACTGTAGATTCTAAAAATATTATTTCATTCACTAATTCAAGGAAAGTCATCTATTACTAGGCACTATGCTAAGTGCAGGGAACACAAAGTGAGTAAGATGTGGCTATTGAGCCCAGACTCCTCAAACTTTAATACACAAACATTGATTAATTACTCTGTAAAAAAAAAAAAAAAAGCTATGCTGGGGTAAACATCAAGTACAATGAAAACACACAGGTAGGATATCTGCTCTGGATTTTGTTTTTGATGGTACTAAGGGGGAAAAAAGCATATCTGGAAAAAGTGTGAAAAAAATGGATCATCCAAGAGTCATCACAAGTTAACCAGACAAAGGCTGAAGAGGGGACAATGTTATATTTTCCTTGAAGCATCTAAAGGTAAATAATATGTAACTCAAACTACTTTTGGATATTTACTGATAAAATGAGGAGACTTGAAACTTGGAGTGAGTGCTTTGAGTCTAAAACATCTAAGTGCATAATCTAAAATATATTTAATGAATATCTATTACATGCTATGACCAGTCTTCGTCACTAATGACAAAGGAAAGAAAATATATTATCAACTTTGTTTCAACAGTATGACAGACTAAATTTTTTTAAATACTTGAGTGCTGTTGATATTTATTGAAGTTGTTGTTACTTGCAAGTTGTTATTTGACAGGAACAGACATCAGTGCAGCAGACTAAATATTTGAAGTGTAATTTTTTGGTACAGCAAAACTAAATGAAGACACACGCAGACACCACTCACTCCTTTATTACATAACTGAGCTCAGATTGCAAAGTAAAGAAATTCTTTAAATTCCAGAATAACAAGAAAACACTTGCACATAG